AGTATGGAAGGAATGTTGCTACAGAGCTTAGTGCTCATCCCCTACAAATAATATCTTTTCAGATTTCGTCTATGAGGAGGAGTTACAAGTAGATGAACCAGTGCATGGGGAAGCTCCCCTAGAGGGGAACGGGGGTCCTGAACTGGATGCCTAGAGTTATATTTCTTTTGTACTAGACTAGAGAGTTTATTTTGAAATCATGTAAAGTCTAGTATTTTGTTATTTCACTGCAAGTGTAATTTAATTCTTTTGGGAATATATTTGTCATACTTGGCCTATTCTTTTGGGATGGCATTGTGGATATGACATATGATGAATGAAAGTTTATTTTATGATGGATAAATAGACCCGGTGTGGTCAATAGTTATGCATATGTGGACCCGGTGTGGTCAATTGTAATATAATTGTACAGGTTGTGTTTTGGGTAAAGCTCCCCGTACAAAGGAGACTCTGCCCAAATTTTGTTAAAATATGAATGGTTGATGAATGAACTTTCGTCGTGATGAATTTACGTAATGCTCTCATGGGGTGAATGGTTTTTAGAATGTAATGTCACCCAAGGGGGTTTTTGGGGCGTTACAAACTCTTCTTGGCAGACCAAATCAATTTGGCTAAAAGAGCTCCAGTCCAAGGACTAGCTCTGCACAGTTCAAACCACTTCAATCAACTCAACCTAGCCTTGGAAAGAATTATAGTCCTAATAGAATAACAACAGTGAATATGCACATTGGATGAATTCAATCTAATAGCTAATGATCAAGCACATCCAAAGTGGTAAAAGGCCTAATACAAATCAAAATGGGGATCAATAGGCTCAAATGCAATCCTGATAAAACTCAACTACTTAGACACCTATAAATAAGCTCCGACCATTGCATCGAGTATGCCACTCTTAGCTTCCAAAAACATTCAACATCTGTCGACTCCAATCCTAATACACCTCAATCACTTAAAAAAACAATTGAGTAAGCTCCAAGTGACGCTTTAGGTATGGCATTATCAACTTCAAAATACATTAAACACCTTTATTCCCTTTTTGACAGAAGCTTTGAAGGGTTGATCACTCGAACTTCTATGGTTACTTTTCTACATGATCATGATCCAGTTGGTCAGGCACGACGACTATCTAAAATGTGGCATTGCTAGAATAATACAATTAAGCACTTTTCACACCCCGACTAGCAGAGCGCTAGTCTCTAACAAAAACGAGCCAACAAATTCCAAAAAATAAATTCAATGTGTTGACCCAAGTAACTAAAATAGACAAACAAACACACACACACAAATGATACCATTTTCTCAAATAGTCTCGGTCGCATTTAGCAAATAGAACATGTTTTTAAGTGATTTTCAAGATAGAGGTTAGTCAAAATTTAGATCTCTACTTTAGTGTTTTTATTGAGCATAAGTTAAGAAGTTGAGTTATGCTCGAGTTAAATAAGATTAGATGTATGTATATAAATTCTTGAACACCCTCTCTTCATGCAAAATTGGTCCTAAGTACTTGAATAAATAGTGTATTATCAATAACTTCCAAAAGCCATTGTAGAGTGTTCTGTCTTTGTGATGGGGTGAACTTGTGGTATTGGGGGTTGTGCACTATAAGTGTGCCTAAAGGCGAATCGATGGATTCAAGATAATGTGATTCAATTTTTGGAATTTGGGTTTGCAATGGATTTTGAATTAGATTGAATTAGTTTGGCTTGACGAGAGGGCGTGGGAGTAGGATGCACTGGGAATAAATATACCACGTCATCAGCGTTATGTGATGTCGTTATTCAATTAAAATAACTAAATAGATAGAAGTCAACCATACTTCCTTAAAAAGGGATCACAGGCCCACCTTTCCGTCCTTTAAAGATACGCCAACATCTTTTGGGTTCAACAGTCCACAAAATAATCAATGGACAAAAAACACTCTTTAAGAAGGCAATTACTGTGCACGAATCCAAGAAACTTCATGTATTTTCATATTACCTTTCCTAATTTCTCATTGATTTTGAAACACGATTGCTATAAATCAAGAACAAAAAAGGTGCATTCTACTCCCTCTCAATCGTGATTTGTATCCAGAATCAACATCAAATTATCTTCCACTTAATAAACTCAGAATCTCGATCGTTACAAAAATGCATTATAGGATTCTTGATCACAGAGCTATTAAATCAATTTTTTTTTGAGAGATCATTCAGAATATTAAGGTTACCAGTAAAATTTTGAGAATCATACGCCAGTCATTTTTGAGAAATACATTATATAATGTATTTCTTTTCTCTATTTCTTCGTTAATATTTGACAAAAATATTGTTTAACGCTTATTTCACTATTTTCAGAATATTTTTGTTTTGATTTCATCTAATGACTGTAAAAAAATCTTTTTCACTTTTTCAATGTACTATGATGACAACAAATAAGGTCATGTTACATATAAAGGAAATCAAAATTTTATTAATACAGATAAATTCACCTAAAGTAGTTTTAGAAATCTAAGTTTTATTAAAACAAATAAATTCCCCAAAAAAATAATGGAAAACAAAGTTTATAAATAAAATTCATATTACATATAACGGAAATCAAAGTTTTATTAATACGGATAAATTGATGTAAAAAGTTTTGCAGAATCTAAGATTTATTAAAAAATATATATTCACCTAAAAAATCATGAAAAATAAAGTAAGCATTTATAATATAGATAAATTTATGTTACATATAATAAAAATTAAATTTTTATTAATACAGATAAATTCACCAAAAAAATCATGAAAAATAAAGTTTATAATATAGATTAATTGACCTAAAATAGTTGTAGAAATATAAGATTTACTAAAATAGATAAATTTAAAACAAAATTATCATGAAAATCAAAGTTGGTAATACAAAATAGATTAATATTACATTTAATAGAATTCAAAGTTTTAGTAATACAGATAAATTCTAGTTTTAAAAATCTAAATTTTATTAAAACAGATAAATTCACCTAAAAAATCATGAAAAAAAGTTTAGAATATAAATTCATATACATATAATGGAAATCAAAGTTTTATTAATATAATTTTTTTTTAAAAATCTAAGATTTATTAAACCAGATAAATTCATCTACAAAATCATGGAAAACAAAATTTATAACACAGATAAATTCATGCTATGGAAAATTAGATAAATTTATGTTTTAAATTTAAAAAACTAGTAAATTTGGTGACATACAAAGTCCCCTAACTTCTCGAAGATGACTTTAATGAAGCTCTTCATCATCTCCATGGTCTTGCTCGAAAATCCCAATTACAGGGTGGAATTTTTTGGTTATGAAAACAAACTATTCGATCTTCGTCATTATTAGCATGGGGGTTGCCGTCGCAACCGGTTTCCAACGTGAACTTGCTAGAGACGGTCTGTTCTGTTGTCTTATACAATGACTCCATTTTTTTTTTTTGAGTCTATATGAAACTTGTTTGATGGACTCATTTGACTCGTTTCTTTGTTACGAAGAAAAAGCAATGCCAAATAACGTGAAGGATAAAGTCGACAAACGATGGTAATAAGTAAAAGATTTAGTTAGATTAGACTACAAGACAACAAAAAAAAAAAAAAAAAACCTGAAGTGCCTTTATTGAGTTATTAGCTTAAAAAACAATTTTTGGTATACTTTTTACCAATTTTCGCTTATTGTATTATATGGAGGGTTGGTTACTAAATTATACGAGATTCACTTATTCATATAATTATTTTTTATTGGATAGTTAAACTATGGAGTGACGTTATTACATTAACCTGTTGGGTAAAAAACTAATTTTATTTTACACCTTAACAAATATTCAATGTTATGGTAGTAATGTGTACTTGATCTATACTGCCACTCAATTTATTATTATAAATTGAAGCATGTGAGGTGTAAGTGCAGTGGACATGAAAATGAGGTATGCTTATTGCTGCATATCTTTGTTTGTGATTAATTTGGGACTACTTTTTGTATAAAAAATAGGATTTCATTCATTAAATAGAGACTAATCCTATCATGTGTAACTCACATGAAGAGTCGAAAGTTTGTGAATTTAGACATAAGCCTATGTCCGAAGTTNACAATGACTCCATTTTTTTTTTTTGAGTCTATATGAAACTTGTTTGATGGACTCATTTGACTCGTTTCTTTGTTACGAAGAAAAAGCAATGCCAAATAACGTGAAGGATAAAGTCAACAAACGATGGTAATAAGTAAAAGATTTAGTTAGATTAGACTACAAGACAACAAAAAAAAAAAAAAAAAACCTGAAGTGCCTTTATTGAGTTATTAGCTTAAAAAACAATTTTTGGTATACTTTTTACCAATTTTCGCTTATTGTATTATATGGAGGGTTGGTTACTAAATTATACGAGATTCACTTATTCATATAATTATTTTTTATTGGATAGTTAAACTATGGAGTGACGTTATTACATTAACCTGTTGGGTAAAAAACTAATTTTATTTTACACCTTAACAAATATTCAATGTTATGGTAGTAATGTGTACTTGATCTATACTGCCACTCAGTTTATTATTATAAATTGAAGCATGTGAGGTGTAAGTGCAGTGGACATGAAAATGAGGTATGCTTATTGCTGCATATCTTTGTTTGTGATTAATTTGGGACTACTTTTTGTATAAAAAAATAGGATTTCATTCATTAAATAGAGACTAATTCTATCATGTGTAACTTACATGAAGAGTCGAAAGTTTGTGAATTTAGACATAAGCCTATGTCCGAAGCTCTTGTGCTTCAATAGCTTCAATTTTTGATGGAAAATTGAATGACATTTTGACCCAAATTATTATTAATTTATAAGTTAGGGGTTATAAATTAAATTTTTTAATATTTAAAGATATAAATTAAAAATTAAAATATCTTTTTGGCGTGAAAAATGAGATTAGCCCTTTGGGTAAAAGTGTATCTTTAAAATAGACGCTCATCGTCAAGGTGGGTAAAAGAGGACTGATTTCGTCTTCTTGGTCCCAGTGACAAAGAATGTCTTCGGCGACCGAAGAAGAGGCTGAACTGCGGCGGAGAAAGATTGAAGAAGCCCTCGAAGCCAAATCCCTAAGGCGTATCATCAGCGCCTACCTCAAGTACATCTCTCTCTCTCTCTCTCTCTCATGCGCGCGCGCACACACGCGCACGCACTTATATACATACGTTTATATATTGGAGTTAATCTATTCGTGTAAATTGTAAACACAGAAATTAAGAAGCCCCAAGATAATTCTTTGTCTATACACTCGTTTTGGTGACAAATTTGTTTGATTTTTGTAGTTGAATTTCATCATACAGTTCATCTGATATACTGTTGTTTTACAAGTGGGCACTCCCAGTGATCTTTAGTTTTTGGTACGTGTCTTTTATTTCAGTTTGTGAGGGATTGTCTACTGTAGTCGGAAAATGGTCGAGCACCAATAAACTGATTAACCAGGATCCAATCGTATAATGGGTCTTAGGCCCCCCCCCCCCCCCCCCCCCCCTTTTTTTTTTTTTTTTGGGGGGGGGGGGAGAGGAGCATTGCCTAGTGTAGTGGTAAATCTTTTTGATAACCTCTTAGGACTCTGGATTAATGGGATCCGTTTGAGCAATAATGTTTTATTCCATATTCTCTTACTTTTTTTTGTCTGTAATTATTATATGTTAGCCCCGAGTGAATGGCATAATTCAAGTACTGACCATAATTATGACTTGATTTGATGCAGCTATCTGGAGGCTGCCGAGGAGGATGTAAAAAGATTTGAAAGATCTTTTAGAAGAATTCCAGTGGCCCACAAGGTAATCTCATCCTCTTCTCAGCTGATAGATTCTTTTACTTGAAGTCCTGCAGTTACAAGCGACTGTCACTAACTTCCTTTAGTTAGCCACAAAGTCTTTTGTCCAGATTTGTTAATGCTATGTTTATTCTCGAATGAACCTGCAACTAATGGCCATGTCATGTTTTTCTCTTGAATGGTTACCTGCAATTTTTATGCTTCTTGCAGTTAATTAAGCTTCTTAAGATACCTCCAAACAAATTAGTGCTGGCATTATACTGATGAATTTCATACTTAGCTCAAAAGTGGGAAAAGGTGCTGATCATGCATCCAGTAATGATGTCCTTCTTTCCTTGTATGATGAGTCAATTCTTCTCAAAAGCTTTAAGTTATCCTAGGACTCTTTCTGCCTTAAGATGATGCACGTGAAACAAACCATCCAAATGCTTCTTTTTGTAATCTGCACTTCAAATTTCTCAATATTTTTTCTCTATTCTTCCTTAATTGTTCATTATGGAAAGGAAAGATACTATGCCGTCATTTCCAAAAAATGCTAGGTACGTTTGTTTTGATACACCATATTCTAAGACCAAAAAATTGTTTGTATATTGGGAATGAATGCCCTTGTGGAGGAGTTAATTTGGGCCTAAATGATTCAAGTTGAGGATTTAAAACAAGCTTTGCATGATGAGTGCTAAATTAGATTGTCTGCTATTGAAATTTGAAAATAATATTTCCTACTGAAAGTAACAACCTTGGTTCTTTGCAGTCCAACTGTGTCTTGCTATGTCATGACAATCATTGCTACAAGATATCTTTGCTCTATGATCTGTATAATTTGATCTGATGAGATATTATCCTTGTTCCCAATATGGTACTCATGAACATCAATGTTTAATTTTACCTTAAAATGAATGCATATACAATTATTGCAAAATTTAATTTAAGTTGAAGCATAATGGTTCTATATTTCTTGATTAAGGATCACTTGCCTCAAGTGTGTGCTAGTTGTTGAGGTTGGGGGTTTTGTTGTCATTCTTCTTTTGCTATGCTCATAGCTTTTCTTTTTATTTTATTGTATCTTTCTTGTATGTTACTTTTCTCATGAGTACTCCCTGTCCTCTGATTACTTTTTCATGATTTTGGTTGAATATTAAATTTATGTTTCATAGCAAAAAAAGATAATGGTTGTTGTTAGAGTTCTTAGTTTTTATATTAGATATAAGATAATTAGTCTAAGGTAATGTTGTAATTATCTTAATATTGCTCAATTATAAAAAAAGAGTATAGGGCAACCTAGCCATACACTACTAATTATTTTCATTCCTTCGCTCTCTCATTATTTCCGCTTCTTCGTTTATCTCCCTCTCTTCTAACCCTACATCTTAATACATTGTTACAATGTATTAAGACCCGTCTTATTTTTTTTTTTTGGTGGGTTTCTTTGGAGTGTATTTGTTGTTGGTTGACGATTCTTATCTCCTATATTCTTTATTATTGCTTAGAGTATTGTGGGATTTACTTTGGCAACTTCGGAGGATGTCAAAGATAATTCGGCTGGTGCTTCGGTTCAACATGTTCCTTCCATTGATGATCACATTCGACAGATCACTTCGGTCAAATTAAATGGACACAATTATTATTCTTGGGTCTATGTTATTAAGGTTTTTTTGCGTGCAGAAAGGAAAGTCAAGTATTTAACCGAAAGCCCCCCTCCTGAGACCTCAAAGGATTTCGAAGATTGGTGGAGTGAGAATTCCTTAGTGATCACTTGGTTGTGGCTTAGCATGGAACCCTCAGTAGCTTCTAATGTTCAACTCTTTGACACTGCCAAGAAAATATGAGACTCACTCGAGGAGATGTACTCCCAAGAATATAATGTGTGTGTAATTTATGAACTGTTTGAGTGGATAATTAATACCAAGTAAGGTAACAAATCACTTGTTGAACATTATGATATTTTGAAAGGGTTATGGGAGGAACTTCTATCTTATCAGTCATTGAGTACAGACCTAAATATATAACGACGACTATGTGAAGAGTTTCAAGTTGCTTTAGTCTTGTCCAGTCTTAATTCTAAATATGAAGTGTTTAAATATCAAATTTTGGCTAGTGAAAAACTTTCAATTGCTGCTAATGCTTACTTATGTCTTCAGTGAGCCTCTCTGACTCGTGAAATTCCTCTGTCCTCCAAGGAGTCATCTGTCTTATTTTCTAGTGATGGTAGTTGTAATGGTGGTCTTGGTTGCCATCCACCCCAAGGTGGCAATTGTGGTAGTAGAGGTAATGGTTGTGGAGGTCGTGGTAGTCATGAAAATCATTCTGAGTAGAGGTGTTCTTATTGTGGAACTACTAGCCATACTGAGGATTATTGTTGGAATAAACATGGAAAACTAGTCTATGCTAATCAAGTGTCTATGACCCGACTCCTCCTATGTCTTAACCATCGACTGGTGCACATGTTACATCTACGTTTGGCTCTGATGATGATCTCACTTTTCAGCAGAGTCATCTCATTGAAAACTTGTCTTAATTCTCTCCAGCAGCTGCTGGTTTAGTCGTTGCTGGTTTAGTCACTGGGGGTAATTCTGCACAAGGCATCCCATTGAGCTTCACCATCTTGGATTATTAATTCAGGAGTTAGTACCTACATGGTTGGTATTTTATTATTGTTTTCTAATATTGTTCTTCTAATTCTCATATTGTGTTAGCTGATGGTTCTTTTAGACTATTACGCGAGACTCATGATCTCCATCCTACTAAGTCTATGTCATGAGCATCTGACTTATTTGTTTTGAGTCATTTAACTAAGTCTTTACGGTGTTCAGTGATATTTTCTCCATTTTTTTGTATTTTTCAAGACCTCCGGACGAAGAAAGTGATTAGTTTGGGGCATGAGTAAAATTGACTTTACTATTTGGATTTCAGAGCATCAGTTTCTGCCTTGAATGTTACCATGTTTGCTCTCCGGTGACATTTTCTATTGGGTCACCCTTCACTGGAAAAATTTCTTCAAGTTATTCCTAATTTGAGTCATTCTGTTATGTTAGAATGCGAGACTTGTCAATTAGGCAAACATCACCATAGTTCTTTCCTTAGTAGTAGTACGAATCGTCAGTTTAGTCATTTTTCTATTATTCACTCGGACATTTGGGAGCCTTCAAGAGTAAAAGGTATTTCTAGATTTCATTATTTTGTGATCTTTATTGATGATTACTTTATGACTTAGCTTGGTTCTTATGGAGGATTGTTCTGAATTGCCTAAAATTTTTCTTACTTTCTACAATAAAATTCTTGTACAGTTTGATAAACGTATTAAGATATTTCATTATGATAATGTCCTTGAGTATGTACAATCCTTTATGGATATATTTTGTGTTAATCATGATATTATTTATCAAACTACATATGCATATACATCCCATCAAAATGGTGTTGCAGAACACAAATATCTTCATTTATTAGATGTTGCTTATACCTTCATATTTAACATGTATGTGCTTAAACCTTATTGGGGAATTGTTATTCTCACTGTAGTTTATCTTATTAATTGGATGCCTTCCCCCATCTTGAGTAATAAATCTTCATTCTCCTTGCTCTACTCTGATACATCACATTTTGGTCTCAGTTCTCGGGTCTTTGGTTGTGTTTCATTTATTCACCTTCTTGGTTTGAGTCAGGATAAACTTTCCCTACCCTTGGTTAAGTGTGTCTCTCTGGGATACTATCATACTCAGAAAGGCTATTGTTGTTATGACCCTGCGGCTCGTCAATATTATGTCATGTCGATGCCACCTTTCTTTCTAGTTCAGGAACTATTCTTTTCCCCAATTTGATCTCTACTACTTAGTGGGAGCTCATGTTGCCTAGCGTACCTAATTATGTCTCTTCTCTATCATCGTCTTTTAACCCTACATTGCAGGTTTGCCGTAGTTCAATTGACAGAGAAGTTGTTTCATATGCTCCAGTGCCCTGACCACTATCTGATTCTTCTAAGGTCCTTCTTCCTGAGACGCATACTGTCTCACCCTTTTTTGATTTTCCTATTACATTGCGAAAAGGTACTCATACTTGTATTTAGCATCCTATCTCTAATTTTGTCTCTTTGCATCTGCTATCCTCACCTCTTTGTTGTTTTGCATCAGTCTTGTCTTTTGTATTTGTTCATAAATCTTTGAAATAGTCATTAACATCTCTTGGATGTAAACTGACTAAGGATAAAGAAATTAAGGCACTTCATGACAATCATACTTGTAACCTTCTGTTTGGGAAACAACTTGTTAGTTGTCGTTGAGTTTACACTATAAAATATCATCCTAATGGCTCAGTTGAGTGTTTGAAGGTATGATTGGTTGCTAAGGGCTATACCTAAACATATGGTGTAGATTACTGTGAGACTTTCTCTCCTGTTGTCTGTTTTAACTTTGTAAGAGTTCTTATTTCTGTTGCAGTCAGTTTTGACTGGTCCTTGTATCAACTGGACATAAAAAATATCTTCCTACACAGAGATCTACAAGAGTATGTCTATATGATTAAACCTCTTAGTGTTGTTATTTCAATTCAGGAGTAATTAGTGTGTTGTTTGAAGAAAATACTGTATGACTTGAAACAGGCACCACATGCTTGGTTTGATAAGTTCAGGACTATGGTGCTTCAATTTGAGTTTCAACACTCTACCTCAAATCATTCAGTTTTTATTCGTCGGGCTTCTGCAGACATTGTTGTTGTTGTTGTGTATGTGGATGACATCATTATTAGTTGTAATAACTTAGATGGTATTACCCTCTTCAAGGCCTATTTGGGTAAATAATTTCATATCAAAGACTTAGGTCTTTTTTGGTACTTCCTAGGGATTGAGGTTAGTTGAAATAGTAAAAGAGATATTAGGGCTTGCAAGAGAGAAGAAGAATGAGACAAGCAGGAGAAGTGAAAAGGATAATTAGTGTATATTATTCATGATGCCCTATACTCTATTATTTATATTGACACTATCTCGGGTAATCACAATATTATCTTACATAAATATAAAACTTAAAATGAAGAACTCTAACACTCCCTTTCAAGTTGGAGCATAAAGATAAAAAATGCGCAATTTGGAACAAAGCTTATTGAAAGTAGCACGAGACAATGGTTTGGTAAAAATATTACTCAGCTGATCACCAGACTTGAGATATGGAGTGATAATATGATATCCCAAATAAAATGACAATCCACTTCTATGTGTTTAGTGCGTTCATGAAATATTAGATTACTGGCAATGAAAATAGCTACATGATTATCAC